AGTTGCTTGAAGTGACTCCAAATTTAGAAGCTCCAGCTCAAAGCTTTGACAGCTGATAGTTTTTGTTCTTCTATCCTACTTCTACTCACAAAGGAAGGTCCAAAATAGTGAAATACTCTGATCCAGATATAGATTAAATGAGCACGGGACAAAAATGTGGTGTCCTGTACACACAAAAATACTACTTGTGTTATAAAAAAAGCTACAAGGTGCCAGAAGAGCAGCATCAGCTAATTTAACATTTAGTTTGGTTCTGGAGTTAAAAACCTCCACAGTTCATAATTCCTCAACCCTGAACTACATTTCATTCAGGCTCCAGGCACTCTTGAAGCTGCAGTTGTAGATATCCACCAGCAGAGGCACAAATAAAGCATCATTAATCCGGCCAGTTTTCTGGATTATATCAATATTCGTTCTCCACTGGTGATGGTGGATCTTAATAATCATCAAGTCTGTAAAACTGCTTAGAATTAGTGTCAAAAGCATCAGCTGTAAGCAGAACGTACAGTGTGACCTACATGCCAAGACACTAAAGGAAGCAAAGTGACAGTCAAAGTGAACCCACTACTCTTTATGGATTATTTACTGGTTGCAGATGCATAGAGAATTGTGTACAGTAATGTTGTGAGGATGTGCTCACATTATAAAAGCACATGTATGTCCTTAAAGCGCACACACACTCACCCACAGAAGCCCCAGCTGAGTGGCAGTAAAAGGGACTGTCATCCTCAGTAGAGTTGGGAGGAGCAGCTCTTGACACATGTGTTAAATATTGAATGAAACTTTACTTCACCCGCTTGGGAAAGCCACGCAGACATGAAAAAGTAATGGCAACAAAAGGATTTGTCATTTTCTGTCGGACTTGGATTTATGTCATCATTGCAATTATGTAACGATGACCAACTTTAACAGGGAAATGTAGATGCTGGTTGGTTAAAAAGTGAGTCAACGCTCTATTTCTCCACTCACTCACTTATACAGTCAACCTGTAAAGATGATGAATTGAGGTCCTCCCCTCTTACATTTAGAACAGACCAGTGATCCGTGACCACAGAGCAGTAAAGGTGAGTTAACCATTAGAGTTTCAGGAGCTTGTCATGCGCGTAAGCACTGATATTTCCACTGTAAACAGGACTGATAAGTGCTGGTAGTGCTGCATGTGCTACTGTATGCAACAAAAAACAGACCCAGGAAAGTACAGGGCTGGATTAACCCACTAAGGGGGGCACCAGTGTAAAAATATCCTGTGGGCCCCTAATGACCCCAAATTTCCTCCAAGAATCCATCTATTTTTTTATATCCTGTACGTAGTCTGAATTTATTGATCTGCAATCAACATTTGCCTTCTTACCAAACCTAAACCAGTGTCTCACCAGTACTGACTATTGGCACTTCTAATTTTTGCCCACATGAGTACCTGTACTGCTTATTGAGTACCGCCACCTCTGTCGATCATGGCCGTACCCAATAAATAAATAATATTTAAAAATGAATTGCCTCAAAATAATGAAGAAAGTGAGATTTAAAGGACCAGTGTGTTGGATTTAGTGTCATCTGGCTGTGTGGTTGCACATTGCAACCCTCCTCTTCCAAACATAAAGGAGAAACTACGGTGGCTGTGATATGCACATAAAATGCGAACGCCCCTATCTAGAGTCAGTGTTTG